TCCTCCCTCCCTCCATTTAGATAGAAACGGCATCATCATCATCTTCTGAATCCAAGTCCTGAGTTCAGAAAGGTTGCTCTCCAGTGCACTTTGCCAGAGATGTCACGCTGACCATCACACGAGGTCTGCGACATCCACACTGAAATCCTTGGCTGTGTTTCACGATTTTTCATTCCTTTTAAAGAGTGCCCAGTGGGCAGGGGAGGGGAAGGGATGATATTTGGAAGGAGACACACTGGACATCATATTTAATGTGCACCGGTGATAAATCAGAGTTTTCTCTGATTTTTTGCTTTATGGTGGTATAAGCCCAAACAGATGCGTTAAAAGCAAAGCAAAACAACAGAAGAAAAATAATTCTGGTGGCATTGTCGACTGTTTCTGCAACAAGTCTCAGCAATGGATTCCCCAGGGCGCCTCATTGTTCTTATTCTGCAGGGAAGAAAATGCCCTTAGGTCTTCTTTCTCTCTTTCTCCTGCTGCCTTTTCACTGTGATGGCGTCGTTGCTGTCACCTTTCCATGACAAATATGCAACTTGTGGGCATTGAATTTATTCAGCTAGTCCGCCTAGCGAAGATTACAAATGAGGGACAAGGGGGAAGAAGGGCCTTTAGAGTGATGTTGGTGTATCATCTCCTCCAGCCAGGCTGCAGAAAGGAAGTAAAATGAGACACTTTCAGTTATGATTACTACGTATTTACAAAAGGAGGCCATAGGCCAGTAGTAAAGAAACAAGGATCGATGCTCCCTGAATAGCAATTTCGAACAACCAACTATGAGCTAAAAGAACTGTCTCCAACTAGGCAATATTTGGTACTACCTACACACCCCGTTCCGATCTTTTCCCTGCAAAGAAAGACAGAAAGCGGAGGGTGGGTAGCTGAAGAGCTAATACCGTGCAAAACATAATTCTTAAAACACACATAGCCAAATGAAGGATGCTCTTTCATTTAAAAGTCTTGACATTCAGGAGGTGATGGAGGGATACGATGTGCAAACAGCTGTTACAACTCTGCTGTTGATAATAAATCTTGGTCCAAGCCACTACAAAGTTGCCATAGGGACGTGGGAAGCCATCTGCGATTCTCTGCTCTGGAGGAGGTGTTGGGTACAAGGGAGGCAGCAGGAAGGTGAGATGCAGAGCTGCTGCTCCTACCGTGGTCCCTATGCCAGTGTTTGTTGGGAGGTGCAGAAGTGGGGAGAGAAAAGGTGTCTCCAGTCCAAGCTGAGGCCAGTTCAGTTGGGGCTGTTCTTTGTTCGGGAATCTGCTAGGTGCTGAGCATTATCTTTAATCATCACAGTCTCCATGAATGTCAGTAACATTGCAGTAGGAGAGAAGAAATAAAGACAGAGAGGAAGGAGAGGAGGAAAATGATAATTTAAAAATTGTTCTTTTAAGAAAAACTGCAGCTTTTAAGGACACGAAGTTATCCAAGGTTACAGTGCCTTTTCCCCTTCTAGGAAACTCAATCTCCCAAATTCCTAAATGCCTTAAAAATATACTAAGGCTGTAAACTGGGATTCAGTTCTCACAGGCGTCCATCCTCGAGGAAGCAGCACTTTCAAGTGGGTAGCATATCGCTAGGCTCCAAACACACGCAAATGGTTCTCATTGTAACACAGCCCTCCAAGGGCGGCCCAACAACAGAAATGGTATACGTCCTAGTCCTAGATACCAGGGCACCTCCAAGATCACATGAAAACCTCCAATTCCAGACCAGGATGCACCTCTCTCTTGAGGGCCTCACTCTATTCTCCTAGTACATACTTTAATTCTGCCTAATACACCATTCTGTGCCTCTCACCGGAAGTTCTTTTTCTGTGATAGGACTCAGCAAACCTATAACCTGCCCCATGGGTGAGCTGAGTTGAAGTCCCCCTCTCCTCTTCAGGGGCCCCCTTGCATCCCATTTGCTGACATGGTTCCTGTTTTTAAAGGAGCCTTTTGTTTTAGAGTCATTATAGAGCGACAGAGGTGAGGTGGTGACATTGCAGAGGGTTCCAGAATGTCTGGTGTCCAGTTTTCCCCTTCCTTAGCATCTTCTATCACCACAGTGCATTTCTCGAAATGAGGCAGCTGACACTGTTAGGCTGCTGTTAAGAAGATTTCAGCCTGGCCACTATCATGAGATCAACCAATGACAAATGCTGGTGGGGCTGTGGGGAAAGAGGAACGCTGATCCACTGCTGGTGGGAGTGCAGACTGCTGCAACCACTGTGGAAATCAGTATGGAGATACCTCAAAGAACTAGGATTAGAAATCCCATTTGACCCAGCTATTCCTCTGCTGGGTATCTTCCCCAAAGAATTAAAAGAATCATACCACAGTGATACATGCTCACCCATGTTCATAGCAGCACAATTCATGATAGCTAAAACTTGGAAGCAGCCCACTTGCCCATAAATGGGAGACTGGATAAAGAAAGTGTGTGTGTGTGTGTGTGTGTGTGTGTGTGTGTGTGTAAAATGGAGTACTACTCAGCCATAAAGAATGAGAAACTAGAGATGTTATAGCCAAATGGATGCACATTGAGGTGATACTCAAGTGAAATAAATAGGACATGTGTAAATACTGAATAGTTTCTCTAGTATGAGAAACTGAAAGTGTAAATAAGGACTAAAAGGTACAATAGATAATGTGAAATAGGAAGAAAAGGTGCAAAGGAAAAGTGGGAGGGGTAGGAGAAAAGAAAGAAGGGAAGGGAATTAATATGAGGAAAAGAAAAAAATGGAAACACAGTCTGTAGATAGGGAGGGGTGGAGGGGTTGAAGGGAGGGCAGGGGAGTGGGGAAAAAATAAGAACCAAGATGGATTATGGGAAGGTGTAAGTTTCCAACGATGAATGTCCTTTTATTGTATACCCATAAAATTAATTAAAAAAGAGATTTCAGACTTGATTTAGATTTACCCAATATTTTCATCAATGTTTACTTTTTGTTTCAAGGTCCTGTCCGTTATGCCACACTGCATGGAGTCGCTTTTCCAAGGCTCCTCTGGTCTTTGATGGTCTCTAGGTCTTTATTTTCTTATCCTTAGCAGTCTTATGGAGGACTCATTGTCTTTATTTTTCACCAGTCCAGCAATGCAGCCTTGGAGAGGCTAAATGACTTGTGCACGTTCAGGCAGATTATGGAGGTAGCACTGTATTCCTCTTCAGTCTAGTTAAGTCTGTTTTCCAGACGCCAGTGGGCGTCAGAAACACCAGGACGGTTAGGGAGACTGGGATGGCTCAGGCTGCTGGGACTGCACCCTGGAGTTCAGATTCAGTAGCTCTAGAGCGAAGCCCAGAACTGGCATTTCTAGATGCTCTGCTGTGGTCCAGGGACCACGTTTTAAGAACCGTGGTATTAGGTCAAGTTCCAGACTACAAAGATTTTTAGATGAAAAAGTTCATTTGAGCCGTTTACTTGGATCACATCCATCAGATAGGTGTCAGGTTTCCATTTCACTTTCTTAAGTGTGGAAATGAATTTAAACTCTAAACAACTTTCTCTTCTTGTCTGCCTTCTTCCCTCCTTCCCTTTCTCTGTTGCTTTGTTCATCCTAGAGCTAGGTACAGAGGGGTGTGATAAAAAGATATTTCTGTTCTTGTCCTTGGATGCGGTGTGGTGTTTGCAGCCTGGCGGAGACTGATTTGAGCCCAAGTCCAGTTCATCTCAGGTGGCCTTGTGGCTCCTGGTGTCTTTTGGTCTTAGCATCCTCATCTAAAGCATACTGGTAACTAATTCCTACCCTAGACATGCAGCAGAGGCAGTTTTATTAAAAAGAGGAGACTGAGAGCTGGAGGTTTAGCTCAGTGGTTTCCAGTGCTTGCTTTGTAAGCACAAGGATCCGAGTTTGATCCCCGGTACCAAAAAAAAAAAAAAAAAAAAAAAAAAAGAGAGAGAGAGAGAGACCGATAAGATGAAATAATGTAAACTTCATATATGCTCCCTGAAATCTGAATTTTTTTCCTTCTTGAAAGAGTTTCCATAGCATTGATTCAAACTTTATTCTTCCTTTTCTCCTTTTTTTTTTTTTTTTTTTTTTTTTTTTTAAGATGAGAAGAGCTGAAAACAAAATCTGGATTCCATTGACAATCGATTTGAAAATTAAGCCACAAAGGGAAAATGGACAATGAAGTCTTATTAAAGAGGCATCTTATTAAAGACACATTGAGCTCAAATAGTGAATAAAAAATATATTTTTGTGCTACTATGACAGCTTCCAGTGACAGGCACTGAGCTGCAGGTAAATAATTACCAGGCCATTGTTAGGACTTAGAAACAAATTGCCTGTAATATTTTTTGTTTTCTGGAGTAGTGTATAAAGCAGTGACTCAAATCCATGTTGCTTCCTACATGATCTAGACCCCAGGACTATTTTAAATATTTCCTGAAAAAGACCAGAGGGAGAAAAAAATCAGAAGTATGCAGCCTCTCAGTGTGATCTGAAAAATTCCTGCAGATTTTCTGAAGCCCTTGAAGAATTCATAACCTTAAGTACTCCCATATAAATGATTCATATTATTTCCAAGCTCTCTTCCTGTTTCATATTTTGATTAGAAGCTCAGTCTGACTTTTAAGTCTGGCCCAATTCACAATAAAATATGAAGCCACAGTTGCTCCATTTGTTATCTTACGCATCTCTGCTTCTTAATCATTTAAAACACATCCAAACAATCACAAGTTTTCTAAAACAAAAAAACAAATCATTATGCACAACTGGCCTCAGGGCACAGATCAGAATTCTGTGCATGTTAGCATATTTAATCATCCCATTTTGGGAAAGACAATCCATTTTAATTTCCTTAGACTGTGTTCACTTGCTTTCATTATTTTCTTTACTTCAACCATCAACTTGACAACTATTTTTCTTCACAACAAGGCTTATGGTATTACTCCAAATCTGTCTGATTTCATGGCCTTTAGGACTGCTTTCATGTATTATGAATTTGTCAACTGGCAGTGTTTGTTAGATGGAAACTTACAACTCCTTGCAGAAGTATTATTTTGCAGAAAGTATCGCTGTTTTTTTTTTTTCCCTCTTAAGTGGGGGAAATATCAATGTTTTCAGAGGGAGGGTGAGGACTAGTTTGTTAAATATGTTCAATAATAGTATGTTGGTGCATGCTTTTGACATATTGGTAGCACTACTTTTGTTCTTGGTTGCTTCCTGTCATTCCCTCTGTTGTGGTTTGGATCAGGAACATTCACCCAAATTCTCATGTACTCAGAAGTAGGGATGTTGGAGGCTGACTTGCTCACGGGGCCCCATACTCACTGGTGGATTTACCCACAGGTGAGCTCGGAGGCTGAGTATACTGTGAGGAGGCGGGGCCTAGTCTGAAGAGGTGGGTCACTGAGGGCGTGGTCTAAGAGTGTCTAGGGCTGGGGATGTAGCTCAGTGGCACTGCGCCTACCTGCAAGCACAAGGTCCTGAGTTTAATCCCTGGTACAAAAAACAGACAAACAAACAAAAAAACAATCTCTCTCTCTGTGTGGCTCCTCCCTTTGTTCCCTCTGCTTCCTGTACGCCCAGGCTTGGACAGCTTTCCTCTGAGACCCTTCCACCAAGCCACTTCTGTGGTTGAGCCCACCAACCATGGACTGAAACCTCTGAAAAACTGTGAGTCAAACTAAACTCTTCTCCTTTAAATTGTGAGTATAGGGCATTGTATGCCACTGAATAAAGTTAACTGAGACACTTTTTAAGCAGTGGGTCAGCACCGTACTCCTTACCTCCTCTCTTTTCCCTCCTTCCTGCTTCAACATCTAAATGAAACTCATGATTAGACAGGGTTTCTGGCAAAGAAGTCTTTTCCCCAGACTTAGAACAGGGGGTTTTGGAAAGATATCTGGACCTCTAGGCTTCTGCTAAGGTATCACAGAAAGCTAGAAGATTCCAAACAGGAATTACATCTGGCTGCAAGGAACAAAAACCACCATTTTCTAGAATAATTGTTTAAGCTGTCTATAAGGTGGTCTAAACAAATAAAGTCCTGGGGTAGATACCTTAGAGCTGATGTTTTAGTAACACAAAATTATGAGGGATTCCATCTCTTCCGACCAGAGTTCTCATTTTATGGCTTCCATTCTTGAGATTGCCTCATAGCCCAAGAAGGCTACCAGAGCACCAGCCATTACATTTGCTTCTTGACAGCAGGAACATTGGAAGGCTGCTTTTCTCAGCCCAAGCATTTCCTTTGAAAGATCTATTTCAGAAATCACGTATAATATGTCTATTTCTGTCTTGCCAGGCTGAACTCATTCACATGCCATATCTAGCTGAAAGAGAAGCTGAGAAATTTAGGACTTTGTAATGGAGTTCTCTTACTAAAGAAGAAGAGGAGATGGACATTTAGAAAGCAAATTGCAGTGCCTATCACAGATCTGGAGAGAACAGAGAACTGAAGTCATTGTGGACCAAAGATAGCACTGGCCAGATGCCACAGGCCCCAATCTCACTGATGCGCATGACAGTGCAAAATGAGCAGAACCTTACCACCAGCTTTTTTTTTGGGGGGGGGCGGGGGAAGGCAGGAAAGTGCCCAAGTCCTTCAGACCATAGGAATGAGGCTTCAAATAGAAATTATGCAGAATTATACAAGAAATGATTGATTTCATAAACACCTGAGTTTACAGATTCAAATTTATAATCAGTAGGGGGTAGTAGACATAAGAGTTCTCAAACTTTGATTAAAACACTGTTTCCCCCCAGAGGGGGGGATCAACATGGCTTGATTAATTGTATTTGTTGTAAAAATGCAAACATGTTGGAGACTTGAACGTTTTCTAAAATGATCCACTATTTGTCGAGGATAGGACTGTATATTTCATCTCTGCTTAATGCCTGACAAACTTAGGTACTCCGTGTATCTTTGTTACGTGAAAAGTGATAGTAATCTAAGAGGTTTTCATATAGATTTGTGTGCCTCTGTATTAGTTACATCCCTTTCAGATGCAAGTAACAGAAATTGAAGTCAAATGCTTACAAGAAAAAGTAATTTACTGGCTCATAATTTAAACTATGAACTCCAGGTATAGCAGGAACTGGGCATTCAATGATCTCACTGGATCACGATCTTGCTTTCTCCTTTGAAATTTTCTTTATATTGGCTCCCTTCTTAGTTAAACTTTCTGTTCACAGTGACAGAGTAATTACTAGCAGTGCCCTGAAAAATTATCTTTCTGGCTTTGAGACTAGTGGGTAAGGTCACCTTCTCTCAGACATCTGTAACAACTGTCACTCATCTAAGTCTCATTGGCTCTGATTGTTTTGACTTGTGATCAGTATTCTCATTAGAATGTGAATCCTCTCCTTAGCCAAGCCTTAAGACTCATTCCTACCGTGTCACTTAGGATGCAAAGTATCACTCCAGCTGTTTTGACTACAATAATTTAATACAGGAGGGTGAAATGCAGTCTATTTACTGTTTTGTTAAATAAATAAAGTGTGATTGAACACAGCTACATCCATAAATTTAAGAACTGCTTGTGGTTGTTTCTGTGCTAAAATAGTGGAGTGGACTGAGTGACCTGTAAGCCTAGAATGTTTACAATCTGACCATCTCCAGAAAAAGTTTATCGATCTTTAATTCTATATAAGAAATGATAGCAACATGCCGAAACCCTGAGAAGAAAGAGGAGAACAGCAAGACATCACATCTCTCAGGAAGCAGCTACCTCCAGGGTGGGAGGAACCAAGGGAAATGACTGGAATTATGAAAATTTAGAAGCTGGAAAACGAACCCCATGAATTTGAAATTACAGACTCTCAGGAAGTAATAAGTTTGGCCTGGCTCTGAGGTTGTTGAAGGTGCTCAATGAGCTGGCTCTGTCAGTATTGAAAAAGATGTAAACCATGACCTACAGCTGTTTCTGGAATAAAACACCAGCGCAGAAGCAAAAGACCGTGCTGGGTGAGCCTGGAAAGAACAAGAAAAAGCATGCCATTTCTTCCTCTCCAGCCTGCAAGTCTCCTTGGTGGCAGAGTGTAAGGGGGAGCAGCAGGGAAGGAGAAAGGTGGCTGTAGAGTCTTGGCCTTGGCAAAGCAGAGCATGGGAGTGTGGGCTTGAACTTGAAATGCTATAACCTGAAAACTGATACAGTTCACTTGTGGATTCTTCATTATCCACCCACAGCTTTCTATGTATATTTGAACATCAGCCAAAGCTATCCTTCATTAGAACAAAGACATTACACCATCTGTCCTCAAGAAGAAGATCCAAGGTCCCAGAACTCACTGCATTCATCTTTGGGCTATGCTAACTGCTCTCTAAAACCATAGTCCCATTAAGACATCGGGTTACTTGAAAACTAAACTATAAAATTATAGGCTACTAACAATACTAGTGTCAGATATTAGAGGAAGAAGAGAGGAAGAAATTAGAACCCAGCACAACACAACACATGCACATCTAACAAAAAAGATATTCATAATCTCTTTCTTCTGTAACCAGTCAAGAGTGCCAAGATATATATGTATATATATTATATAAATATGTACATATAAAATATGTATGTATAAAATATGTATATATTATATACAACATATTATATAGGAATATATGTATTCCACCACTTTCCTATATTTTCCTTGTCTTTGACTAAGATCTCAGCTGGAACTGTATTTTAACTGGTGGCGAAATTCAAACTTTTATTCCTGAAGGAGGATTCTCATTGATCCTGTTTTGTGTTGCTGTTATTCTTATTGTTGTAGTTTTCCATGGAAATACTGCAAAGAACCCTACAGAGTCTTCTGGCCCAGATATAAGTCTTCTTGCTCTCATCAACTCTACTTCCCCGAGATGGCCGGGTTCAACATCCCAAGTCAATAGGAATGCTCCCTTCTTTCTTTTATTGAAGTGGCATTAGAACATAAAACGTCCAGGTGATAGTCTCATCCACTGTTCAGGGGAGTCATTGTTGTGTGTCCTGATAGAAGCAGTTCTCCCACTGGAATTAAATTCTCCAAAGCAGCGAGGGTTAATGTTAGGTTAATGTTGCTGGGATGGGAAGCAAAGTCCTGCAGGTGGGTCATTGGGTATAATAGTGTGAGAAGCTACCTTTACTTTCACCTTTTACATGGAAAGTTTGGCGAGTCCAGTGGAGATATTTTATCATGTTAAAGCGGTACTTACTTCTTTAAAGTTTTTTCTTTTAACAAGAATGGGTGTTGAATCT